TATGGTTTGCTTCTTTGACCATGTCGTACATTCTCTCTTGTTTCTTACTCTGATGCTGATTGGGGTAGTTGTCTCATGGATCGTCGCTCTCAGAGTGGTTATTGTGTGTTTCTTGGCTCTAATTTAATTTCTTGGAGCTCCAAAAAGCATCCCACAGTGGCTCACTCTAGTACTGAGTCAAAATATTGCAGCTTAGCCACTGCAACTGCTGAGGTCTTGTGGCTTCATATGCTCCTTCAAGAACTGGGTATCTCTATCTCTGCCACTCCTTTGATATGGTGTGACAACATTGGCGCTAAATTTCTTGCTAATAATCCTGCACTTCATTCTCGTTCTAAACACATCGAGTTGGATATTCACTTCATATAGGAAAAAGTTGCAGCGAAGCTTCTTAATGTTCGATGCATACCCTCAGCTGATCAAATTGCAAACATCCTTACCAAGCCTCTCGATCTTTCGCACTTYGAGGTTCTTTGTCACAAGCTCACCATTTCTCCTCCGGTTGCGCTTGAGGGGGGTTGTAAGTGATAGCATACTAACGTGCCTGGCACATACATGTATTCGGTGCATGGCACATCACCCAAGACTCCTACTTCATCTTGTAAACTCTTATTCCCTCTTATCCTGTAAATACCTTTCCTACTGTGCTTCTCGTTTTTGCAGATAACCCCTATCCTATACACTTGTAGATTATCTTTGTAAAGGATAAACCTATCCTAGTAAGATAAGGATTATCCTAATTAGGATRGAATCTAACCTATCYTATTTCAGATAAAACTTCTTGTACTCTATATAAATCATCAAAGAAAGGAGAATAGATATTCGACCATTATTATCAATTGTCTCTCTCTTATTACTCTCATAGTACCAAAACCAAGGCAAGTATCCACTTTATAATAATATAGAATGAATGTCAGAATTTCCCTAGATAAAACCACTTATTTCTACCACATAATGTAGTCCATTTGGATCATCCATTTGTTATGAGGCCAACTAGATTGACAACAAGTTCAATCCCATAGTCCATATCAATTATATTGCTCACTTTGAATGATCGTTTTCACAACTAATTGATATTATCTCTTCAAAGTTTCAACAAGGTTTTATGGAACAAAAAAAAAAAAAAAAAAAACATGGATAAAAGGGATTCAGAGATGAATTTGGAGACACCTTTTGGGTTATAAGATAAGTTGAACCAACTCCCCATGCATACATGTATGATTTTTCTTTTTCCTCTATTCCKTATTGGAAATAGAGCCCAAACAAGATGAAGCCCGATAGAGTCGGAATAGAGCTGTGGTATGATTTAGCTTGGGCTTTGATCTCCGGTTGGGCTGAGCTTAGACCCAAGATCAAGGCCTTAAGGTTGGCCCTAAACCTAAACCAACCTGTCCAAATTGCAATCCTAATTTTCTTTTTAGGTCCCCATATGTTATAGTGCCTCAATGAAAACAATAAAAGCCAATCATGCATAAATAGATTGCCTAGCCTCAAAGCCATATTTTATATTGTCAGTAAGCTCCCCAACAGATCAAAATAATTCATGTGTACCTTCAAAAAATAAAATAATAATAATAATAATTCATGTGGAAGACACATTTTTGTTCACTTTTGTCCGGCCAAAAGAAGGGAAAGATGACAACCCATAAGTAGATATTGTTTCGATTTAAGAAATGATGTCTTTCTCTATATCATCATCTTGGTTTGGAGCATGATTTGAATGACATTGAAATTTTATAAAATTTTGGGTTTGATCAAGGGAGGATCAAGGTTCAAGTTGCCAATAAAATACACTCAATAGTATCGACAGGCCTTCAATACACAAAATAAAGGCTTTTTGGGATTTTTAACTGTTTCAGGGGTTAGGCAGGCTTAAGACTAACCCTTAAGTCACTTTTGAAAAAAAAAAACAAAAAAAATTGTAAATTATAGAAATGTGTATTAGATGTATCAATACTTTAAACCTTGGTCAGGATATACTGAATATAGTCAGTGCATTTATTTTGAAATTTTGACCATTTATTTAATTGAAATTTAAAATAGTAAATTAACAATAGCATAAAAATTAGGTTAAATTAGAGATAGGTATCATATACTTTTGGGATAGTGACAGATAGGTACCCTGAATTTTCAATTGCAATTCTTAAATATCCTAAACTCTCAAAAATAGACACTTGGGTCCATCCGTTAGTATTCAGTGAGTTAAAAATTACATAATGCCTAAAATGCCCTTCTTGTGTATTTTCAAGATCATTCTCAGGTAATTAAACGTCTCCTCACGATGACATTCTCACATCGACATCAAATAACATATTCAAATTTTCTGTCAACAACATTCTCAAGTAATGAATTTATTCTGTAGAACGATCTCAAAATTACATGAGAAGGGTATTTTTGATATTATGTAATGTTTAACTGATGAAATACTAACGGATGGACCCAAATGTCTATTTTTAAAAGCTTAAGATATTCAAGTATTGCAATTGAAAGTTCAAGATACCTATTTATCACATTCCGAAAGTACATGTTACCTATCTATAATTTACGCTAAAAATTAAGTACATTAATAAAATAATTAAAATGTAAAATATATATATATATATATTCAAAATTAAATACTAAAGTTTCAAAATTTTTCATCATTGTCCAAGGTCAGACATTCAAAGAAGTTTAAAGCCTTGGTTTGAAGTAACAAATTTTGGGCCACATCAGTTGTCACTCATATTTGTTGAAAAGTCAAAATATAATAACTGGGGGCCCACCATGAAAATTGGCTGTGGAGGATTAGCTTCAAAATGAGACAAGATATATTTCCAATGTTTACATTTCGACACTGGAAGAATAAATTGTACAGAGTATCTAGTAAAGTTTTAAAAGATCAATGGTGAAGTCATTTGATTAGGCTGATCTTTTGGTATGTACACTCAGAGAGGGCCCATGTAATGATGGGCCTGATCATCTGAACATGCAATCTGGTAAGTTACGAGCCCCACACCACAAACAACTAAGCAGATGCACCCAATTCCACATACAAAGATTCAGCATTGCTCGATTCCCTGTAAATGCAATGCCATTTGCTTTTTCTTTTTTTTTTCAAAAAGAGAACCATGTTGCAGATGTCACATATGCTGTGTCAATGACCGGAGCACTTTCCTGCAACCACCAACAAATCATGGTTCAGGGAGAAACTATCTCTGTTTATTTTAGCTTCAAATCCCCAGATAATCTGCCTTTTAGTTGAGTCGAAATAATATGTTTATTTTTATTAGACAGTATTAAGAAAATGATAGCTACCATTGTCACAGGAAATGTAAATTCTTAGGAGTAGGCATGAATCACGTCATTCTCGAGCCATTAGAGCTCATTTTGCAAAAAAGCTCGATTTGATTTGGGGCAYTTTTGGCAAATCTTTTTAGGAAGATCTTCTGTTAGTTTTGATAGTTAAAGTATACAGCGATTTTTTGCATTAAGATCTTGATAGTCTGAAAACCGTTTGGTTCAGGCGTGTCTTTCCGTACGAAGATGAATAAAAAAATACTGAAAATCTTTATTTGGAGCTTCTTGAAATCAACCTAAAATGGGCTTTTCATGTCTTTTCGAGATATGATCTTTCGGTGGTTAAATCTATCATGAACCAAACAGAAAAAGACCCAATCGCAGTCTACCAGACTAGTTAATAGCCAACAGACCATACAGAAAGATACACCAAACGAGACCTTAGTCTAAATCATTCAAGCTTTTATAAGCTTAGCTCGAGTCTAATATTAGGCTTAATTGCTAATTGATCCAAGCTCAAAAGCTCAAATAGTATGAAGCTTCATAAGTTTAACCGAGGTTTTGTATATATATATATATAATACATGTGCTTTTGAGTGAAGCCGGATTTATGTTAATATTTCTAGCACGAAAATGTTAACTCAAATTGAGCTCAATCCTGAACTCGATCTTTATGCTTTTTCTTCTGAGCCAAACTCGGATATTCTAATATTTGACTCGGCTCGACTTGCATCACCTCTACAAACTCCTTATTTGCCAACATTCTGAAAGGTATTTGTTTCCATGAACTCCGTTARCATTCTCATAGAACGTTACAATAGGAGTGACAAATTGGGCTTTCGGATCCGAAGGATTTCAGTTACATTGATCCTGGGCCCATTCCGAATTTAACAAATGCTTTGCCCTACCTTACCTGACCCAAGTTGCAAGGAATGAATTGTTATATCCGATGATGTTGTTCTTTACCCGGAAAAGAAATAAAGACAAAAGGAAAGTGATTCTCTGTCTTGTATGGCAAGCAACTAAAGCTAAGACGGAAAGAGGGCAAAAGAAGATATTTGTCTTAAAGATAATCTACTACTCAAATGTTTCAAGCCCATCTTGTCATGCTGATATGGGCCAAGGGCCCAAGGCACTCTTGAGTCTTGGCTGGGCCCAGTTCAGATACCAGTTTCACACATTCCCATTACACCAAGGACCTTCTGGTTGTAGGCTGCTACTCAACAAAGAGACACCTTAAATTAACCATTAGATGTGTCAGATGTGATATCAACTTATACCAAATACAAAGGTGGACTGTGGGTCTTCATTATATTCCTATCTGACGATAGCAAGAACACCACCTAGGCACCTAATGTGAGGGTTTCTCTCATGGAATAGCTGGGAGGTTTTCAGGACGGACATGACAGTTAGTCAAATAACAAAAAGCAGCCACAACCAGTTCCTTCTCTGACATACATATCCGTTGTGCAACGGATTCATAGTTCTCAGCCCCGACCAAATTCAAACAACTGAAGAAAAGGGAAGAAAAAGTAAAAGCCACCCTTCTTTCCTTTCGTCTCCAGCAGCAATTAAATATAAACACCCAAAAGCCTAGAACCCTAAACCCTACCTTATTAGGTGTTCTTGTGGAGTTGTGATAATAATTTGTCTCTCAAATTCTGAGAGAAATTAAATCTTCCTAAATGGGGTCTTGTATTAGCAAATGCCGACCCAGATCAGCTGCCTACAAGGAATTTGATCTTCCCCAAGACAAGCTTGAAATCCCACAAGCTTCAGCTTCTGCATCTCCTCAAGTTCTTCTCCCCAACAAACCATCATCACATTCTCCTTTTGATTCCCCTTCATCTTCTTCTTTCTCCTATACCACTAGCTTCACTAATAGCTCTTCTTCTTTGTCAACCTTCAACTCATCGCCCTGTTCAACTTCACTGATTTCATCAAAAGATAGAGCATTTTCAAATGAATTCTTGTGGGCTTGTATCAAGGAGAACCCACAAATAGTTCAAACCAAGCCAACTCCCATTAAGGCCTTGACTGTTAAGCCTCCTTTGCGAAGGTTTGAGGCACCATCCAGATTAACAGCAATGCCACTGAAGCAGTCAATTCCGCCTAGGCGCATTGCACCGCAGCCGCAGAAGAGAGGGCGTGATAGCTCACCGACTCTTGTTCGACAGAAGAGTCTCAGAAGGGAACTTGCTGAGAAACCAAACTCCCCAATAAGCTCCCTTCCGAGCCGGACTTTCAGTTCTCCATCTCCGAGTAGGAGATTTAATGGCGATGAATATAGGGCAATTACAAGGAAATCTCCCCAAGAGAGCTGCAGACGCAATGGTGGTTTTAAGACAAACGTAGCCAAGCCCACCTCATTATCAGGGAGGAAGGAAAACCTACGGCCCAGAAGTCCGTCCAACAATGTATGTCCTGAAGGAACTCAGTCGAGGAAGAGAGAGACTTCCACTCACCATATCCGGCCTGGCATTGATCAAAATGCAGTTGGAGAATTGCTATCTCAGCAGGAGCTCAACTCTCTTATCACAGGCATTGATAATCCTTTTATCTCCCTGGATTGCTTCATCTTTCTCTAGAAGAGAAAGGAGTTGCACTTAATTTCATGTGTTTATGGGCAATTTTATATGTTTGCCTTGTTTATTGCTTCATGTTTGTAAACAGGTCCGATTTTGTTTGGTACTTAATTTGATTCCTCAATCAATATAACAAGAAGCGTTTGGTGTTCATTTCTTACATTTTTTTCCCTTTTCAAGAGCTGCAATCTTGTTTCAATACATTTGTAGCTCAGTGCTTCAGTAGACTCCAATCTGTTGCATGAGAAAGATCAGGACTGTATCTTATTGGGTTTGTCTCCAAAAGGGTTGGTCGCTTTGTCTCCTGTTGCCCACTTATCCGAAATGGCCTTGGTTTATATGGGTTTCAACTTTGAGGGTAGGTTTCTAGAACTGAACCGGTGAGCCCCAATGCCCAATAATATATTTGTCAGGACTCTTGGAGGTCCAGGGCCATTTAATATCATGAGACGAGTGGCTATGGGCTTAGGAATGGCAAAGGGAGGGGGTTCGGGGATCATGTTCTCCGTCCCCATCTTCGTTCCGCCAAAATAATTCCCATCCCCGATCCTATTGGGTCAGGGAAGCCAGGTCTCTATCGGGAATGGAAAAAATTGCCACTTATATGAATTTCAAAGTCTCAACGGATCAGTTAGGATTTTTGTTGGAGGTGGACTATTAATTTTCTTTTCTTAAAGATTGGTTTGAAGGAAAAAGGTAGGAAATACAAAGTTTGTAAAGGTTTTCCTTATTTTTCTTACTTTTTTTCCTTCAAACCAAACACAGCATAAATAAACCGTATTATATATCTTCTTGGGCCAAGGGGTTAATGACCCAAAAATAAAAATCAAATGCAAGAATTCCTGTTCTAATCAAACTTGTTGAACGGTTCCTTGAGGTTTACCGTTCACGCCAAACACAATCAGAGGGTATGACCTTGGCCGGATCAGGACCGGCCAAAGTTAAGTTATAACTGGCTCCTAGTTATACCAATTGTAATTAGTACGAGCATGGCCCCACCCAAACGGACCTGTGGCTGCGTTGGGTTGTAGTGCAATTTTATTTACCCTAGTAAATTCTGTTTTAATTTTGTTTTGGGTTATTTTGCTTTAGGTCTTATTTTATTTTTATTTGTACTGCAATCAAGTAAAATAAGATAAATTTTAAAGCAAACATAAATTCAAAATTTATATTCAAATCATTTGCACTACCGTTGTTTTGCATCAGTGCAAATAATTCATTGCAACCAAATGCAATTTAGGATGCAAAATGAGTCCGATAAATTATATATATAGGGGTGTTCATGAAAAACTGAAAAGCCAAAAAACTGAACCGCAAAATGCAGTTAATCGAATCAATCGGTTTGATTTCGGTTTGGATTTTTTGAAAAACCGAAGGATCGGTTCGGTTTTTGGTTAACCTATAAAAAATCGACGGTTAACCAAACTGACCGGTACATATATTTTTAATATATGTCACATATTTTCTATATATTATATATAAATATACTTATATTATATTTATAATAATCTATTTATAAATATATTATATATCATTTATTATTTATAATATAATATTATATATATTTATACAATATATATTATAAATATAAAAACCAAAAAACCGAAGAACAGAACTGATCAAAAACTGAAACCGACGGACCGATTAACCAGTGGTACCGATTCGATTTCAATTTGGAGAAATAAAAAAAAATGGTACTACCAGTTCAATTTGCAAAATATGCCCATGGTCCAATTAATCGAACTGTCGACACCTATAAATATATACTTTGAAATCCACATTGAGTCTCAGTGTTCGTATAGTAGGTATAGTAGTTAGGCTTTATGGCAAGCATGGGTTGATGAGAAAGAGAAAATCACAGCTGGAGGAGAGATCATGATGTTGAAGAGAGGAGAATAAAATTTCCATTGATCTTTTCAACATTATCACCTTTCTTCTCTACTCGTGTGGTGTCTCAAAGTTGGATGTCCGGCCAGATGCATTAGCATCAATTAGAGGAGATAATACAGAGTAAAGGACTTATTTCTTGTTGCTTTTTTTTTAATGATTTTCTTTATGTCTGTAGGGTAGATGTTCACCAATAGAGATTCTTAGCCTACTGGCAGTTAACTGGTTTATTTTTTCTACTATGTGCTATCATATATAAATAATAAAAAAAAAACTCATTTATTATTGGGGTGCGAAAGGTACAGGCTATACTAACTGGACCTATTCGTAGACTCTACTAATCCATTAACAGCGTTAAATTAATTAATTAAATAATTAGAGATAGTCTTTATTAATTTTGTGTTGATAATACATAAATTTTTATTTATTTATTTAATTATTTTACTAAATTATTTAATTAGTTATTAATTTAATAATCTAGCAAATTATTATTGCTAGCAAAGTAAGACTTAGAGTCATGTATATATTTATATATATTTACTCTCTCACTTGATTGTCTATTTATCTCATTTATTTTATTAAATTTATTTATTTATTTATTTATTAAATTAAATTAATTATTATTTAACCATTTACAATTATTCCACTATATAAAACAAAAATACAATGACAAAAGTCATCTCTCCCTCTTTTAGTCTATTGCCTGATGGATCTGATTATTTATTTATTGTTTTATTTTATTAAATTAAATATATTATTGTCCATAATTTTTATTTACTTTAAATAGATCTTTTTTCAATAAAATTTTAATTAAAAATTTTATCTTTTACAAATTCTTTTCTATATAATAATTTACCTTTGGCAAGCCATTCACCATCATGTTTTGCCCCTACAACTCAGTTTGGAAGGAATACAAATACAAATTTGTAGAGTGCAAAACCTTGTATTTTGTATTATTTTGTATGTATTTGTACTATTCATATTGGTATTTTTACTCCTTCCAAACTGAGCTATAATAGGGGCCCCTCGTAAATATCTAATATAAATATATTAAGCTGAAATGTGTACATGAGAAGGCCTGAGGATGAGGGAAATGGAATCTAACAGTATTTTTTGCCTTTTTTTCTTAGAAATTACAAGAATCCCACTCTCTACTAACTCTCTCTCTTCTTCTTACAAATTAAAAGAATGTCTCTCTCTCCAACTGAGGGAGACCTCAGCTTGGCATATCGGCTGCTAGGGGACCTGCAATCAAAGGTAGTCAAGTTCAAGTCGAGCCAAGTTCAAACTTCTGAGCACAAGCTCAAGTCTCTAATTTGAATCGAGCTCGAGCTAGACRATACCTTGACCACTGAGGGAGACCTCGGCTCGACACCTTGGTCATTGAGGGAGATATCGGCTTAGCACCTCAACAACTGAGGGATACCTCAGCTCGGCACCTTGTCAACTAAGGGAGACCTTAGCTCGACACCTTGCATGCTAGGGAAACCTCAGCTCAACACTTTAGCAACTGAGGGAGAACTCGGTTTGGCACCTTGGCAATTGAGGGAGGCCTCAGCTTGGAACCTCAACTGCTTGAGAGACCTATAATCAAAGATAGTTGAGCTCAAACTTTTGAGCTTTTGACTCGAGCCGAGCTCAAGCTTAATAGTTTATGAGCGAGCCCTTGCAACACACGGCCCCCTCCACTAATATATATTTAAAACAAAATGGGGCATGAGGAGGAGACGTGGCTGCTTGAGAAAGGAGTAAACAACATCTACATGTGTTGAGTTTGGGGCATGTGAAATTTACCATTACAATTTTAATTAATTATAATAATGCCATTGTATAAACAGAAAAGCAATGATAACTTGTCCCTTCTTCTTTTCCTCTTTCATATTTCATACTAAACATTTAATTATTTACAATGGTGCCACTATTAATTATTTACAATGATACCACTAAACTTTGACCTTTTCATATTTATTAAAAGTTGTCTTTCTCTCTCATTTTACTTACAATCAGGCCGTGCTGGGCCATGTCGTGCTAGTCCGCAGGCTGAACTAGGTTGTGCTTCCCTCCCCTAAGAATCGGGCCCAGCATGTGCCGTACCATAGGCCAAGTCTTAGGCCAAGCTTGAGCTAGCCATGAATCGGGCCAAGCCATGTTTTTTAAAAATTTTGAAAAAAATGAAAAATTTAACATAAATTAAAAAATTGACGAAAAAAAAGATCTTAAAATTTTATTTTATATCAATTTTGATGTGTATAATGGCCCGAGCTAGCCATGAACTGGGCCAAGCCATGTTTTTTAAAAATTTTGAAAAAAATGAAAACTTTAACATAAATTAAAAAAATAGACAAAAAATAAAAGAAAAAGATCTTAAAATTTTATTTTATATCAATTTTGATGTATAAAATTGTTTATATATGCAATAATAAAGGAAATAATATAATTTAATTGAAAATAAAATTTGATGCATATGAATATTATATATATAATATACATATTATATTATATATATAATACATATAAATATATCTACAACTTGGATTTTAAAACATTGGCTTGGACTAGTTCCAATAAAGTTGGGCTTGGTGTGGCTCGAGTCTGAGCCTAGGCCTAAATTCTTATCCAAGCCCAACCAACTTTGGAAGTGGAGCATGTGGAGAATGGTCGAGTCTGCGTGGGGGGTCTAGAATCACGTATATAATATAATAATCTAACAAATTATTATTAGTAGCAAAGTAAGACCTAGAATCATGTATATATTTATATATATTTACTCTCTCTCTCTCTTGATTGTCTATTTATCTAATTTATTTTACTATTATTTATTAATTTATTAAATTAATTATTATTTAACTATTTTTCTAATTTATTTTACAAAAGTCATCTCTCCCTCTTTCACTCTACTGCCTGGTGGTTCTGATTATTTATTTATTGTTTTATTTTATTAGATTAAATATATTATTATCCATAAATTTTTATTTATTTTAAATAGATCTTTTTCCAATAAAATTTTAATTAAAAAAATTTACCTTTCACTCTATAGCCTGGTCCATGAGCCAAGTCTTAGGCCAGGCCGTGCCGCGAGCTAAGACAAGCCATGTTTTTTAAAACTTTTGAAAAAA